ACACACACATACAGTATATATTTTGAAAATATTTACATGTATATACATTTATATAGTTACATTATTATATTTTATATTATATATATATAAATATATTTAATATATAATCATACATTTTTCTTAAATATATACATGCATGTGTGCGTATTTATATATACATAATAAATATACACAGTACACACATATTATGTAAAGAAAAACTTATTTTGGATGTGATTAATCGCGATTAATCGTTTGACAGCAGTAATATATACACATATACATATATGTTTTTTTTCACTGAGCATGTTGTAATAGATTTTGGGATTGCATTCTCTTTAAACGGTACATGCTGGTCAAATGAAAGGATCTCATCAGACAGTATTTATTGCAGTGAGAGCGGTTTGGAATAGTTCTGTGACAGATTATAATAGTACTGTGTTGTATAAAATAAAGTCAAATGTGAAAAATAGGCTGTGCAAAAGTTTGGGCACCCTTTCAATTGTGTTGATTTTAATAGCTGTAGTCTCTTATTGCTGATTAATTACAACACCGTATTGATTTGAATTCCTCAGTGATCCTTAACACTGCAAACTAAGGTGCAACCCATCATGGGAAATTATATTTAAGGTAGCTAATTGCTAGTTGTGCTTTTCCTTGATTCTCTACTGGAAAGTGGCAACATGGGAACCTCAAAAGAACTCCCTAATGAACTAAAAACTAGGATAGTTTGTCAATATGAATTAGGAGAAGGATACAAACATTTTCACAAAGGTTTAAGGTCTCTGTCCCCACAGTCAGAAATATAGTTAGAAAATGAAAGGCCACAGGAACAGTCCTTGTGAAGGAAAGATGTGGTAGGCTGAAAAAAAATATCTGAAAGGCAACAGCGAAGAATGGTTATAATGGTCACAGACAAACCACAGACCACCTCCAAAGAGTTTCAAGAACATCTCGCCGCTGATAATGTCATTGTACATCATTCAACAATCCAGCGCACTTTGCACAAGGAACAGCTCAATGGAAGGGTGATGCAGAAAAATCCTTTTCTGGGTACTGCCAACAAGCAGAGTCGTTTAAGGTATGCAAAGGCTCATCTGGATAAGCCTGAATTATTTTGGAATAATGTGCTGTGGACAGATGAAACTAAGA